CTTAGACAAGTATTTTAAAATTTTCAACCTTTAAAGTCCAGAATTCGGTTGCATAGTAAGGGGAAGAGAGTTAAGCAATCATTTCACACTACTCTCCCAATAGTTTAGTTTTCAAGTATTATCTCTGTATAAATAAGGTAATTGTGTGCCACTAAGAGACAAGAAATCAACTTTAGCCCATTTCCTTCAACAAAATTTATTGAGTTTTTCAACTACTAGGTCAGCATGGTTGCTTTTAGGTTTAGGGGACACAGAAGTAAAAACAACAACGTCCCTGCCCTCATGAGGCTTACACTGCACTGAGCACTGCTTATCTATGGCACCGCTGGAGTCCTTACTGCACACTGCACTATTTCACTGTGACTGCTGAAAACATCAATCTCCAAGACCTTTAACGACTGAAGATTTGCTTAGAGATTATTTCCGGAAATGATTTGGCAGGTGCCAGATAAGAGACGCTGAGGTGAATGAAAGTGTTAGGGCACACACAGGCCACCACCAATGCTGCAGTCCTGAGGACAGCTTCGCTACAACTCACCAGGTTGCCCTTGAAGGTCAGGGTGGCCCTTCTGAAATTCCTCCTTTTTTTTATCCAGTTCTTGTTGAAAGTGCTCAAATTCCTCCTGATATTTTTCTTTTTCTTTTTCTGAAATTTCTTTATCTGGTGTAGGCTTTTTTGGAAATTAAGGACAAATCATTAAAAAAAAAATTAAGAAAACAATAAACCTCAATAAATGTCCTTTTCTCATTTTAACTACTCCAGCACTAGTTGAAAGGTTAACATGAAAATGTTAATATATTGTTGCTACTAATAATTCCAACAAAAAATAATAACAGCCAATCCCATTCATCGAGAGCTTGCTAGAAGTACACTGCTTTATTTAGTGCTTACAGAGGTCCAAAGATAGCCAATACAAACACCTGTTTACCAGTGAAGAAACGCAAAGTAACTCGCAGAAGGTCAAACGGCAGTAATTGGCAGAAACAAGAGCCAAACCTAAGTCAGTCTCCCCAAGTTTTCAAGTTACAATTTCTCTTTAATCTGACTGCCTATCTAGATCTAACCTGAAAATAAATATTTGAAAACCCGTTTATACTTACTGGCTCTTTCCCAGGCTCAGTCAATTGGAAAGTCAGAAAAGAAAGGACATCATGGTCATCTATAAATTAAAAAAAAAAAAAAATTGGAAAAAGTTCCATAACAGGTTATTTTATGGTTGTAAATCTGTAGATAGTTATTGCTTTAAAAAATAATAATCAGTAAGGAAAATAAAAATTAGCTCTAATTTGGTAAATGCAATGGTGTTCTTTGAGCTTAAACAAAAATGCATCAGAAACATTTACATTAGAAATAAGCAAAATTCACTCTTTTCAACCCTAAATCAGAACTTTTAGCAGTGTTTAAAATAAAACAGATGTTTAATAGATGTCTAATAAAGGAATGAATAAGCAAATGAAGGGTCAAATCAAGCCCAAACTCCTAACCCTGGCACCAACATCCTACCATATTTTCCCATAAACCTTCATGGACTATATGTCCCACTCAAGTAAGACAAAATCCTGTCCTACACATATTTCCTGCACCTGTCTGTCTCTACCTACCTAGCACTTACCACTTCGTGCTTTACTTTCTATTTATAACCCTGACACTGGTGTCCTGGTTTACAGGGAGTATCCTGATTTATCCACATTGCCCTGGCATTACTAAGAGCATCTCCTTTTACTCTCAAAGCATTCCAATTTAGATAATATGATTCCTCTATACAGTATGCATAACTGTTTCCTGCACACAGCATATATTAACAATTTTATTTTATATAAAAAATAAAATTAATTTCAAGCTGTTTAAGCTGCAAACAGGGACCTAACAGATCAAACCTCCTAAGATTGAACTGAAATGCCAATCCTGGCTTGTCACATCAACAAAGCAAGAGCAATTAATTCCAACTGTGCAGCAATCTTGAAGCTTTCTGCCACTATGATGGAGATCTAGATATGCAGCCAGATTAAAGAGAAAAACGGTAGTAGTACAGTGTAGGTAAGGCTTAGGCGCAGTCATACAATGAAATAAAGCCCTGGACTCAGAGGAGTTAGAAATACAAACCAAGTCCTGCCTAGATCTGACCGTTACTGGCCATGTGATCTTTAGAAAGTCCTTTAATTCAAGATTTGGCAAACTCACCTAAAGTCAAGTAAAAATCTATAATGTTTCTCTCCCTCCTTGTGTAAGCAACAATTCATATATTTGAAAATAATAAAAATATTGTATAATGTACCATATAAACCAGATGGTATTAATGTCTGTTTATGATCAAACATGGGAAAAAAAAAAGGTAAATATATTTAGTCCTCAATAACATTTCCTCAGGACACCAAATCCATGTACATGTGTAGTGACACCGCTCAGGATCCTAAAACATTTGGCAACTAACCTTTATAGATTCAACTTTAAATGTCTCCTTCACTATGAAACGGCAGCCGCACCGCTGCTCTAACTTACATCAGTGTATGTAGCCCCAGCCAACTGTATTCCTGCAGATTCTAAGTAGAGAATAAGCAGTCCCAAGAAACCAAAAGACTGGCCCTGTTGGCTATGAAAAGCTTACTAGTCTTAAAGGTTAAAAGTAAACAAGTCTACACATCTCCAAAATATACTATTACCAACAAAACTCAATTCACAAGTTTTTAATGTTAAAGATGGCAAGATTTACCTGCAAGACCTCCAGTTGCAGCAGATATTCCAAAATGTCCTTGTGAAGGGATAAACATATTTTCCACTTTGGCACAAAATTCATAATCATTTTTATCTGGTGTGAAGCCATTATTGATCATTACCTAGAGAGATGTACAGTAGTTACAGCTTTTACAACAGACATCATAAAATGGATTTCAAGTAGTCAATTTATGTCTAATATTAATTGATCTTTATATTTGGTCTAATAACCAATTGTCAAAAAGCTATCAGCTTCCTCTCACTATTATAAAGGGTAGTTGTCTATTAAAAAAACCTCACTTATTTTTGGTAATTATTTCACTTAAGAAAATGGCTTTTGCCTTACTATGTGCCAAAGGCTTACAGAGAAAAATGTGATAATTTCCCGTGAAAATCTTTCTAAAATAGAATATGGTTCACCTTTTTTTCAAGAATTAGAAGGAAACCATGATTTCTTTGAATGGTTCACACAAAAGAGGGATCAGATTTGTTCTGAAACCCTCTGTGACAGAGCTCAAAAGAATAGGTTGCATTTACAACTTTTACCATAACTAATTGAAAATTAGATAGATTACCTTATTAGCAAATAGTGAGCTCCTCATTAAATTAGGAAGGTAATTGGACTGTCATTTGGTTAGCAGAAAAACAGAAGTGACAGAAGTCATATTGACAGAAACAATGAGAAATGAAAACACTAAAAAGACACTATTTTTGAAGAAATGAATGAGATGTCTTAAAGGATTCCTGGGATTCTAAGCACAAGAATCAACCTGACACATAAGTACTCTTCTCATGACCCAAATCTGATCATTTCATTTTCTTTCTTAAAACTTAAAGCACGTCGATGAGGCATGCTTGCTTTAAACTGTTTCTTATGATATAAACAACACGAGACCTGAAGAACTTGTTTAAGCTACACTCTTGATCCATTAAGGCTGCAGTCACCAACCTTTCGGACCTCACGGACCAACAGTGGTCCACGGACCATCTGTTGGCGACCGCTGCTTTAAGGGGTATCTGTGTTGTAGCAATCACCACCCAGCATAGTAATGCACACAAGTACCTCCTGCATTAGATTACAAGCTCTTTGGAGAAAATGATCTTTGCCTTTCTTATATTTGTATCCCGAAGGCTTGGATATGCATATAACGTGTGGCACTTAACAGGATGCTTAAAAATTTACTTACTAAATGCAAACCTAGAGGCCGGGTTTTATAACACATGACCACTTTCATCAAGCTTTGAAACCACTTCTGTTTTCTCATATTAACATTCATGAGTACATGAACAATACCCAAATTTAAATGCATTTAATTTATATCAAAGCTTCAAAATTAAAAGTTATATAAGAATACTGTTCATTTGATTATCACTCAATACATGGTACTTACTGTCAATGTTTGCTGGTAATATATAATCTTTGCCCGAACAGGGTAAGGTTTATTACGAAAATCCCTCTGGCAACTTGCTAAAGCTTGATCAGCACCATCACTAAAGTATAAAGGAAAGGAAAACAAAAAGAAACGTAAGCTTTTCAATATTTAAAAACTCATATTTAAAATCATTCATGTCTAGAAAGATTAAAATAATATTAAGTTAAGACAAAGTCTCTGGATAACATGAGGAGCCACTGTTAGCATGTGCTGACAGCGAGGAAAAAATTATAAATAGCTCCACAGGTGTCTACCAGAGTAAAAGAATCACCAAGGTAGGTAACAGTAAACTGGAATGCGGACAAAGAATTTTTCTTACAATTTCATTGACTGGCTAGAAGGTAATTCCTCCCACAACAAACATGTAGAATTAAATACATTACAAATACACTAAATACTTAGAAGCTTTGTGCTCGCTCCCCCCCCCCCCCCGAATCTTAAAATATATCAATAGCAATTCTAAGGTGGAAGAAGGTGGCATAAATTTCTTAGTCGTTAGTTTAGTCAAGGTTTCAAACCTTATTTTTGAAAGATCAAAGATCCCTTTTAATAAAAACAAACAAACATGATAAATGGCATCACTGAGAGCCAAGAACATTTCATTAACTTTTTAAAAGTATTATATAGCCCTGGCCAAGTAGCAAGGTGGGGGGACATCTGGCCCACAAAATCATTTGGTCTGGCCCTGCCAAGACATTAGAGGTGAATTAATTGTTTGAACAAATATAGCAGGCTAATTTTTAAGTTGATAATTTTGTATGGCCCTCAAATGATGTTACAAATATCCAAAAGGCCTTGCCAGCAAAAAGATTTCCTACCACTAGCCTACTGTTCATTTGATCATCCAGATACATTAAGGTTGAGGGTTTGACCCTGGTTAGAACACATACAGGAATCAACCAATGAATGCATGAATAAGTGGAACAAATCGATGTCTGCTTCTCTCTCTCTCTCTCTCTCTCTCTCTCTCTCTCTCTCTCTCTCTCTCTCTCTCTCTTTCTTTCCCCCTCTCCCTCCCTCCCTCCCTCCCTCCCTCCCTTCCTCCCTCCTCTACTCTCTCTAAAAATGGAAAAAATATCCTAGAGTGAGGATTAATAACAACAACGAAGAACCAAATTAAAATAAGACCTTTCCAACAAGTTATATAATAAATCTCAAGAAAAAGAACAATCTTATTTCATCTGGAAAATGTTCATTTTTGAAATAATATATTTTATAAGGTTTCCAAAAAGAAGCTGAAATCAGGAATAATGTAAAAAACACATACTTACTTTTGATGGTCATAATGGATTTGTCCATTGTTGCCTACAATTACTATAGCGGGATTATTTTTCTAAAAATAAAGACAATATGTTTGTTTAAAGCCCTTAGCCAAAGAATTTCAGATAATTTTGGATGTACTATAATGCTTCTTATATCTCTAACATGCTAGAACTGAAATTTAAAAAAAAAAAAAATATATATATATATATATATATATATTTAAATATATTTTATTGATTTTTTACAGAGAGAAAGAGAGAGGGATAGAGAGTTAGAAACATCGATGAGAGAGAATCATCAATCAGCTGCCTCTTGCACAACCCCTACTGGGAATGTGCCCACAACCGAGGTACATGCCCTTGACCGGAATCGAACCTGGAACCTTATCCACTGAGCCAAACCGGTTTCGGCTAGAACTGAAATTTTTAAATAATAGAAGAGATTTCTACATAATGTAGAAAAAATTTAGTAAACTCTTACAATCATTCAAAAAGTGTCAACACCCCAATAAAGACTGATGACATGTTTTCTCTTTGAATAATCAACTCAACATGTATTTGAGGACACACTGTGGGTATGGGACAAGTGTGGGACTTGTGGAAGCTAAAACATGAGGATGAACATGGCTTCAGCACTCAAGGATTTAATAAAGTTCTCTTTTAAATTGTTAATAATGACTCCAGTAGAGAAACAACCAGCTGAAATGGAGATGATCAATTTTAAGGCTGCTCAAACACAAGTTAATTTTCCCAATTTGTAAGTATATTTTGTTCTTAACTGTTTTAGGAGAGATGAGAGAAATTGGTTGATCAAAAAGAATGATTAATACAGGAAGAGAAAAAAAATACAGGAATAGATATAAACTTGTGAGCTAGTAGTAGCAATGAACATGGGTATTTTCATAAAAACAAGTTATAACACAGATAGTATGGCTCAGTGGTTGAGCACTGACCCATGAACCAGGAGGTCACGATTCAATTCCCGGTCAGGGCACATGCCTGGGTTTTGGGTTCGATTTCCACTGGGATGTGAAGGAGGCAGCCAATTGATGATTCTCTCTAGTCATTGATATTTCTATCTCTGTCTCCTCTCCTTTTCTCTCTCTGAATCAATAAAAAGCATTTCCAACAATGTTTAGTTGACTCTAAACACTAATGGTTTCATTGCTTACATCTAAATAACTCATGCTTATCCATCAAAATCACTGTGACATACAGGGTGCTAGGGAGGGGGGCATCGCAAAATTATCAGTTAGGGCTCCGCTATGATCTCAAGTTGAAGCAAGACAAATCAGGAATGCATAGCTTTAAATGTATAAATTCCCAGTTACATAAAGACTAATTATCATACTTTGGGGAGTTCTCTACTATTAAACTACTAAAGTATTAAGTAAATTGTATTTCTCACAGCTTAACTATTAGCAGATATATTAAAGTAGATAACAGTCCTGACAACAAATATACCTTTCCATCATTGTCAAAAGAATCGAAGAATATTCCAACACCATTCCACATATCAGCTGATCCAAATACAGGACCCTCCAAGCCTTGATTTTCTGTATACCAAATTGCCTGTAAATGTGCAACAGGGAACATTTAGAGGCTGGTGGTATATGCATTTATATACATTTTCTAAGTTAAAGAAATTATCATACCAGGCCATCAGCTCCAATTCGACCTCTTCCAGTCACTCGAAATGTCACCTCAATTTCCCAGTTCTCAAAGGCTGCTTTTGTCTTTGTCCACACTGATCCTCTTTGGCTTTTTAAGGATGGTGCTATTCGAATTTGATCTGAGCTTGGAATAGCATCTAGAACAAAAATCAGGGGAAAACTTTGTTATAATTAGATAAAACTCAATGAGTCCTCACCAAACTGTTACATATACTTATAAAGATCTAATTTTAACTTAGTAAGCTGCATAATAATTTTGTTAGGAAAAAAATTCACGTTGACAGTTTCAACTTTAAAATTTTAGGGCTTTCTAACACAGCTCCTCTTATCTTTTGAGTAATGAACTATCTCTGGAAAAAAACAATTGAAGCTGTAACCATATACTAAAAATGCAAGGACAGGAGGGAGAAAATTTTGGCTAAAGTCAAACCAAATATTTAATTCTTATTTTCAAATATTTTTAAAAACTGTGATGTTTTTTTTTTTAAATCAATCTTTATTGTTCATATTATTACAAAGGTTCCTCATTTCTTCCCCTTCCACCAGGTTCCCACCCCATGTGATGTGTTTTTGTCAGTTTACAAATGTTAGAAAGCTTAAACAGTGTGAAAAGAATTTATCACTAGGAATCAAGAGACTTATTTCTAGTCTCATTTCAGCTGAATGACTTTGAGCAAATAATTTCTTACCCTCTTGGGCTCACCATATGTTCACCTGTAAAACGAAGGGGTTGGCCTCAACCATTTCCACAAAACCCCCAAACGCTATTTGCAAAATTTTGTGTATATATATATTCTCCTAGGGCAGTGGACGGCAAACTCATTAGTCAACAGAGCCAAATATCAAGAGTACAATGATTGAAATTTCTTTTGAGAGCCAATTTTTTAAAATTTAAACTTCTTCTAAAGCCACTTCTTCAAAATAGACTCTCCAAGGCCGTGGTATTCTGTGGAAGAGCCACACTCAAGGGGCCAAAGAGCCGCATGTGGCTCTCAAGCCGCAGTTTGCCGACCATAGTCCTAGGGTGAGGGTCAACTGAATTTCAAGTCAGTGAATAGTGCTTCAGCATCAGCAATTCTCAGAGGGAAGAGGTCCCCAAAATGGTGGTTCCCATTTCTAAGCTAGTTTCAAGTCCTAGCTCCACCACTTACTAGCTGTTTATCAATAGGCAAGTTTTGCCAACAACCTCAGAGGTATATCTCAATAAATGTAGCTCTTCCTAATACTGGACTAAATAATTATTAAAGTAACGATCAGGCCTACATTTGAACAATTCTAGCACACACTCTAAAATATTAACCAGTTCTGACATTTATGCTGGAAAATAACTGTAGAAAACACTGACAAGTTGAGATAGTTTAGTAACACCAGCCACTGTTTGTCACCATCACTTTCAAACATTTAAGGGGGCAGGCAATCCAGAAAGAGTTCTAGTCTGACAACTAGCTATGCAACCTTTTTCAAGACACTTAACTTTTCTGAACATCAGTTTTTGCATCTATAAAAGAGAGAACAGCCGCCATGCCTACTCAGGATTAAATCAGAATGAAGGTGAAAGAGCTCTGAGAGCTTTTTATAAGGGGTTATAAATTGTTATCATTTTTTTGCCCTTATGGAACCACAGATGTGTACTGACAGTACAAAAGGTCATTAGAGTTAAGGCGAGGAAACACCAAAAATTTGTCCTAATTTGGGGATGAGTAAAGGGCCATGTTTAAACTAAATTTAAAATGTTTCTTTTCCCCCCCAAAATTGTTTTAAATCACAGTGACAACAAAAGCAAAGGATACCTATGGCAGTGTTTCCCAGCGTCAATAAATAGAGGTGTTGTGGCTAATACACTAACCCCTTTATTTCAAATTCAGTCTAGTCAAACAACTTTAATTCACCCACATACATTACCTGACATTTCTGCAGTAAACTTAGTTGGTTATAGGCTCTGTAGAGAAAGCCAAGACAACTAATGTGGGTAGTTAATTGACACTGCTAATTAGCTGGTTATGTGGCCTAAGCATGAGGGAAGAGCAAGCAGGCAATGGAAGGATGCAGAAGTGAAAAGGGTAAACAAATTCATCACCACTATTTACAAATTCATCATCATTCCATAAAGAAAAACAAAAAACTCCAAAGCTTGTGTCTGGTATATTAGCATCATCTTTGTGTAATTAAGAACGCTATTTTGATAACAAATGCCCAGGAAGTACCAGATGAATGGGCACATAATTATTGTCTTCTGAGTAACAAAATAATTGCTCTCTACTTCAAATACTTAATATCTTGGTCATTATGTTAAATTGAAATCTATACCTTTTAATTATACATTAATTTCAGTGAAACGGGTCTTCCGAGAAGTGTGCTTCCTAGTCAATAATCACTTTCTAGAAATGGAGCATTTCGTTCCAAATATTGGACAGCCTAAAATGATGTATACAAATCTTATATAAATGACTTCTTAACTACATATAAGGACAGAAGTCAAATGGCCAGAGGCAGCATGTCAAGTGCTGTGACTGATTCCTTAGTCAGCAATGACACATCAGCACTCAGGTACAGATTCGCTTCTTGCACATATGTAAATGTCTAGCAGGCAAACTCTTATCTACTAACAGTGCCAAACAGAGAGTGACTGAAACAAAACAGAGCGCAGATTACTTTGATTTTTCAAAAAAACCCTTTTTTTTAAAAAGCTGTAAATATAATAATAATAGAATCAAGTTCTGAAACAATATAAAAAAGATACTATCCGTTGGTCTACTAAATAAAGGGACATGTGTGACTATTCAGTTACATAATGGTTTAACACAGAGCATTCAAGGAAAGATCAAAGACCACACCAAGTCACTGAGAGTGGCAACTTTAAGGTATCGTTCCAACAGGGTTGCCAGAATATCCTCACATAAAAACGTAAAAAATGACCATAAACCCCAAAATGTACCATCTCTGGAACTGATATTGGATGTAATACCACTTGTTCAGGAGGCATGGGGTACAATCTGGA